ATATATATATATATATATATATATATATATATATATATATATATATATATTCTTTTTTTTTTCTTAATAGATCTCTTATTATAGATTAGTGAGAAATCCACTTATTACAATGAGTCTCACTTAAATTTATATAGATAATTTACCAAAAAGCGTAATTAAAGTATGAAAATAGTGTCAAGACTGCATATATTTGATAATTTTTAAGTCACACAGTAGTAAGAGTCTTGTGCATACTATATTGTAAAATGATGGATTATATTAGATAATATAAATTAATTCCATATTAGCAAATAAAATAAGAGATTAAATATGGAATAAAACACTATTTTTTGTAATCCAGTGTTTAATTAGACACCGGAGTAAGCATTGGATAATAGAAGTACTAATCATTTGTTAGCCCAAAAATCATCAATCTAATCTAGTTATTCATATTTTTTGTTATTTGCTAGGCAAAATAGTAAATTTATAATCTAATACACTTCAATTGGATTATAATATCACTCTCATGTGATATTATAATCAATTCAATAGTACGGATAAGGTTTATTATTCGTATACATATTTAAAATAAAACTATATATAATACGGAGTATTTTTTGAAACCAAATATAGCATAAGGTTGGATAAAGAATTTTAATCTATTATGATTATGTAATCCACTATTTCATACTGCGACCAAACGACCCATAAGTTTCGTTTGGTTGCTGTATAGTAAAAAAAACGGATTGTATTAATTAATATAGGCTAATTATGTAAAAATAGATAAAACACAAAATTAAATATATGATGAAGTTAATACTCATTATTATAATCAAGTGTTTAGTAAGACACTAGATAAGGGTGGGATAATAGAGTCTTAGTTATATATTGATCAAAAAATCATCAATCTTGTTTAGTTATTAATATTTGTGTTTATTTAATAGGTAAAATAGTAAATTTATAACTTAATATGCTTAAACTAGACTATAATGCCACCTCCAAGGTGGTATTATAATCGGTTCAATAATACAGATAGAGTGTATTATTTGAATAAATATTTGAAATTATACTATATATAATACATAATATTTTTTATAACCAAATGTAGTATTGGATTAGAGAGATTTAATTTGTTATGACTTCTTAATACACTCCTTAATACTTCAACCAAACAACGCATTATTAAATTATGATTTTGTTGCAAGAAATAATTAAACTATACATTGTTTGTTTAAGTGCTACCATAACATTTTGATGTAGCGAATCAAGATACGAAATTTTTTGCTTTTTTTTAAAAAAAACCCACCTAAACCCCTATAAATGCTCTTATTTTTATTTCTAGCTATACAAACATCAACTATATGTGAAGCGCTACATGACCATTATGCTTGCAATTCTTCTCCATGGGTGCATTATCTTTAAGACTTGTTCGTAGAAGTGCTAATTGAATTGATTTTGTTGAACATGAGTATGCTTAAGCTCGGTTTGGTTATGATTGTCAAATTTGAGTTCAAACAAGTTCCACTATCAAACTTGAGTCTTGTTTAAGCTCGCTTGATAGAGGTGTACGAGCATTTAAGTAAAACGTAAGAAAAAATTGAGCTTAGTTTCAGAAGAAATTTAAATATTAAACCTAGAATAATAATAAATCCTAAACACTCAAATTCAACAAAAAAAAAAAGTTTCCTTGAAATCTGATGGTGTATGACCACGTTGATGAGCAAAAAGTGCAGGTGACGTATGATAAGCGTGAATCAAAGTTACAAGGCTCGT